CCCTCTTGAAAGGAGGAATCTGGCCCTGAACTGCTGCTTCTGTCTTATATATATAGTCTTATATAATCTTTCATGTCTTCTCCTCTTCTGTCCTCTCTTGATTTTAACCAAAGAACCAACCTGTTCTACATGGCAGGGTCAGATCTGCCTGGTGACCAGGGGGTTAATGCCCATCCACTCTGCCTCTTGATGCACCCACTGCTGAGGTGAGATCAGTGGCATGCTATGGTTGAATCAAACAGAAGCAGGTTAACCTGTGTGATTAGAGACACTACCCCTCCTCCACACTCCTCTGAAACAAAACTGGATTTAAAACAAAACCCCCCAAATCCTTATTGCTCCATGCTCTGTCCTTCCCTGGTGCTGAGCTGGGACAGAAACGCCGTGACCCTTCCTCCTCCCTTGCACTCCCAGCAGCCTCTCCCTTTGTGAAGGAGGAAGAACCCCAGGTTCGCCTGCCAGCACCACCCGTTCCTTCCTCTTCTGCAGCAGCCAACATGTCCCTGTGAGCAATAGGAGCTGTCACTCCTGTGGACAGATGCCAGCAGGCTCAGGCAGGGAGCTCCATTCTCCTTCCGCATTTCTGCTCCAGCCCCAGACACTGAGTCTGGTGCAGCTGGGACTCCCAGGAGGGCAGAGGCTTGGCTCTGAGGCTGCAGCCAGGCTCTGTCTTGTGCTGAAACCCTTCTGATGGTGTTAACATCAACCTCTGGTCAGGTTTCTTCTCCCACTCAGTCACAGCTACAGCTCTTTCTGTGCAGGGTAACAGCTCAGATCATGTACCCCCAGATCTCATGAGTTTCATCCCCATCTGTGTAGATATCTCAGTTTGTGGTCATGTAATAGTGGGGGGAGAGGAGGGGATCCTAGGCTAGCACAAGGGCTTATTTTGAGCATGCTGCAGGGTACCCCAGTGGCCTCTTATTTCCCAGCCCTCATGTATAAGGTGCAGCTCAGCAAAGATTGGTCAGGAGCAAACAGACCAGATGCTGGGCTGCAAAGAGACTAAGCAAGCCCTTGGCCTCCCTGCTAGGTAGCAGGACAGTGGACAAGGTGTTGAGAAATCCCATGCTCACTGCTGCTGTTTCTGCCAAGATGTTATCTTGGTCTCCATGGGGCTGCTGCACTGGGCAGTGTATGTGCTGGATGGTCCCAGTTGTTGCAGCTCCTGCCCATGACACACCATCTCCACAGTGGGGCATCAAGGAGATGTGGGATTCAGGTTCCTCAGAAGCAGAAGCAAGCCACAGCCCTCTGATTCCTGCACAAAAGCCTTAGCAATCCAACCCAGCAGCTCCTTGAGTCCCAGGATCAGTCAAAAGCCTGGATGGTGCCATCTCCCACTGGTTTAGGACCTGTTTTTCCTGAGCTCCAGGTGGCTCAGCTCAGTGGAAGCCCTCTGCCTGGTTTCAGGAACAGCTACACAGCACGCCACTGTAGGTCTGAAGTATTTCTGGGTGTCTCCACTCCTGCTGCTCCTCATGTATATTCAGAAATGCAGATGGTTCCCTGCAAACCCACATCATCTTCTGGCTTTACCCTTTCTTTGCATGTAAAAAGCTAACTCAAACACTGCAGTGCAGGCCCACGAGTTACCCAGAACACCAATACAGTGCTGAGTAATCCTACAATAACAAAGCAGCATGCATTCAGTGGTGTTGATCTGGAATGTTTTGGGGGTTTTCCAGTATGGCATTGTTCTGGATGCTGGCCCATCCCGCACCATCCTGTTCATCTACCAGTGGACCACCACCAAGGCAAATAAGACCGGGGTGATCAGGGAATGTAGTTCCTGTCCTGTGCAAGGTAAGGTGCCTGATTCATGCTCAGTGGGCTGTGGGACTGGTGTGGGATGGATGGAAACAGAGATTTGTGCATGGACCATTGCTGCAATGTCCTTGGCTCCCGTATCATCAGGCTGTATGCTGAAATAGTGGTGATAGTGAAGCACAAGCTGCTTATTTTCAGCATAGGCCTTCTCAACACAGGCAGATTTAGCCATACACATCTGTACACCAGCAGGAGGTGACAGTTTCTTTGGCCTGCTGCAGGCAGGGAAGCACACAGAGGGAATGGGGCTCATCTTCATGTCCCCATGGATCAGTGGCACAGCCAAGGTTGCTGAGCTGCTCACCTAGTGAACAGCAACAGAGACAAATCCGGCTGCAGAGTGACTCCTGGTGCTTTCTGCTTCCTCCTGACTATTCTCTGGGCTCCAGTGTGTGCAGCTGGTGTAGCTCCAGAGCAACAGAGGAGCAAAGACTCCAGCCTCCTGTGTGGGGTTTGATAGCACAAGCACGAGTTCAGCTTGGGTTTAGGGGTCACACTTTGGAGAATACTGGGGTCTTCCTCACTAGTTTGAATCAGTTTGGCCCTGCCGTCACCAGCTGAAAGAGTTTCGTGCGTTAATGCTTGGGGTTTTCCTTCCCTATCTCTCAATCTTGCTTTGATGTTGAAGCCTGATTATAGCAGGATGCTGGGAAACCCTGAATGCTCGGTAGCAGTGTGCTGTGGGAGGGCAGCTGCACAACAAGCAGGGAAGAGGGTTTGTGCCCTCGCAGACTGTAAGCAATACAAACCATGTACAGAAGGTGCAATAAGGGCTGCCTGAAACCTTGTACGTGTCCCTTGCCTGCTGCCACCTTCACCAGATGGGTTAAAAACAGCAGCTGTGAACTCAGTGCAGCAGTTTTCAGCAGCAGCAATAGGTGCAGGCAGGTCTCATCCACGTGTGAGAATTCATCCATAGTCACAGCCTTGGGGTAGCTGTAGATAAGCTGCAGCTCAGCCCCATACAGGGCCCAGGAGAGCAAAGCACGTGGTCAGGAAGCCATGCAGCCAGGAAGATGATGGGGCAGAGGATGGGGAAGTGAAGCTCTTTCTGAGCAGCAGGTCAAATCCATCCTGTAAGACCCCATTGAATCTTACTGGAAAGATGAGGCAGGGCTTGCACACAGTTTCTGTCTGCGCAGCAGCAGCTTCCTCTAGAGCAGAGGTGTCTTATAGTGGCTCAGAAGCCACCTTTGTCAGCACAAGAGGAAGTGGCTGGAGGAGAGGGGTGACACATCAGCCCCAGCTCTGTCACATTGCAGCGTATCCTTTCCTTATCTTTTATAGTGGCTACAGCCACATTTCTTCCTCTGTGGCCTGAGACAGCCCCAGCTGCTGAGGTGCCCTGTGGCTGATACATGGTCATTTGCAGGATGTCCCCGCACCAGAGCTAGGGTTCTCAGGGTGATTTGGGATTTACATGCACAAGTGTTTTGC